GATGATAATACACTAATAAGAGCACCAGCAATCCTTTCATTCTTACATTTCTATATACAACCTTGTATTGCGCCAAGCCAACAAGGAGGAATTGGTGGTCTTAAGACCATGACAACTCAACTATCTAACTTATTCATTAAAAGGTACAGTGCTGTGCCTCTTAATTCATTCTCAATTAACTGGTGTGAACTTTTTGTATTAGTCCCAGTAATTTTCTCACATCAACCATACATTACAGAGTGTAAAATTTGATATGTAGGCTATATCTATAATCCAGTATCTAACTGCCATTGTATAGTAGTGCCATGTGGAATTCGATGTCATATAACCTTTCACAAATTATGCAGCTAGCTTGCAATATCTTCATAGTCGAAAATTTGACCCTCGGAGATATTTTATACATATATATATATATATATATATATATATATATGTTTTTTTTTTTTTTTTGTTAAAATAGTCCCTTCCGAGTAAATATTTCTCGCCCTGCCCCTTTCCAACCAACGCGCTGGCGTCGAGTGTCTACAAAGGACTTTATATTTCTACCCTTAGACCATATTTAGCAAGGTTAGCAAGATGGATTATGACCGTCTTTATCGCTCTTATCGGCAACATAAACCGGATTCTAATCTCACCTTTCTGTTTAAGCGAAATCCAGCAGGAAACTGACAAAGATGGTTCACTGAAGAAAAATCGCCGAGGAAGAAAATGCGAAAAATGCAAAGCCACGAAATCGCTGCCCACTAAGTTATAAACGATACGAAGGGACTATGAACGTAGCTAAACGGAACTATCGTCAGACGTAAAGGATGAGATTTTGTTGACGATACAGATGGTCATCAGTAACTAGCTCGCTAACCAGCTAGCTAACCAGCCCGCTATTCGTGTCAACACAGCCAGCAAACTTCAGCTGACCTTATCAAGATTAGCGAGCGAACTCGGAACCATGATAGTTGAGGCAGTTTCGTTTGTACAAGTGTCCACTGCTTACCTCGGGGTACGAGCATTTCTCCGAATCGCTGCCACCCAACACGGCAGATGCTTCTTTTTCCAACTCCTCGTCCTCCTCCAAAACATCAACAAGAGAAACAGTGGCCTCGTCCTCCTCGTTTACCGCCATTCTTGAAACGACAGAGAAGCAATGGCATGTAATTTCCGGTTCCTGTGGAAAATATATGACGTGTGACGTCCTCTTAACGGAACTTCTTCATACAATATGTCTGAATACACCGACCGGAACCTCCTTTCCAACACACAAAAAAACTGTACTTGAATAACACGACTTTTAATGAATTTGACGATTTCTCATGGAAGGTTTTTTGCTTCCGTTAAATTTGCGCGAAAATAATATCATCAAATACTTGGCAATCAGAAGTGAAGGGCAAATTAAACTGCAATCAGACACCAATATTTCACATGTGAATTGTTCAGGGAGCTATTTTCCTTATTTTATTTCCGGGTTGGAGTTCATGTAGTTTGCTATCAACATGGCAGCGTGCGAGTTGCGCGGTGAATTAAAGTACCGAGATGGTGAGAAGAAAGAATTTGTGGTTAAAACAGAAAACAGCTTGAAAGACATCATAGCAGGGGTTCATGAGATGAACGCGGACGTGTCAGCGGTACTCACAGAACTTGTTTTGCGCGAAAAGGGTTCTGTGAAAAATGGCAAAGGGGACATGCAAGTCGATGGTAAGAGTTTCTAGGTAATAGGAATGCAGTGTAAAGAAATGCCAGAGTAACGTTAGGCAGCTGTCTTTCTACATTTCAGGTCAGTTAGTAAAGGGGTCTTTAAGTTGGTGTCACAGGCGAGGTTTGCACTGCAGTTGCAGTTTTACAGTCATTCTGCAAACTTCAGCTTGCCAATTGAAATGACTAATTAATGGCCGACAGGATTCAGAAGTGCGAAAGCCCTGCACATAATCTACAACTCTTAGTGTGGTTATAAACTGTGTCCGTTGTTAGCTGCGTGCATTACGCCACTCTGTAGCCTGAAAAAAATTTTTTTGATTAATTTATTGTAATTAATGACGTTTTTTCATGATCAAGTCGAAAAAAACTACGAAATCACGTTGTAATTGGCATTTCTTTAAAAAAAAAAAAAAAAAGTATACTGGCTCAAAACTGAATAAGCAAATAAGTCTACGGTTAAAAGAGACTGCATACTGACCTTAGTGAGGAGTTGGACTAATGGCTGGACTTGGCTAATTAAGAGGAAGTTTGACACCAACAGTAGAGCTGTTCCTGCTTTTTCAATAGGTTTCCAATAAATGTTAAACAAGTGTTGCCAGGCAAAACAAACCTCATCCACCAGCGCTTATTTTAGTGCTTTTGATACTGATTCAATTTTAAAACTATGACCTCAACCGTTTTCAACTTATAGCCCTGTGAAAATCTGTGACCTTGAGTTTGACATTTCAAGGTCAATCAAGGGCAAAGGTCATGGTGTCAAATAAAAGCCCATATTGGAGTTCCTCTATGCTCATAATCGTAAACATCTATCTGCAACTGTTTTATTTTCACTGATGACCTTGCCCTCCCTGACATTTAACTCCCCACTGCTGCGGAGCCTATCAAAGCTACCCCATCATGCAGCATATGGTTGGAAGTAGAATTGAAAGGTGCACATTTGGTTTTGGCTTAAAATCAATGTAATGAATTTGAAGAAAGTTATCACAAAAAAAAAAAATTGACCTTTCTGATGACCTTTGACCTTCTTGACCCGATCAACCCCGGAATTAAATCAGGTAATCTACAGACCATTGCCCACCTACTGTGAAAGTTTGAAGTCAATCAGTGCAACCATGTTGATGCTAGATTGTTAACACACGGACACTCAAACAGAAAAATTAACAGACTGCCGCACTGATTACAATACCTCACCCCGCTGACTCCGCTGCGGGCGAGGTAATGAAATGTGTTCATCACACCAGGCACTCGTTTGGTTCTTTATTTATTTAGTCAATTAACGATCAGTTTAAAAGTGGATCACTGACTGATCTTCCTGTGAGAAATATGTAGTGTATGTAGCTGCATCTCACTGAACACGTCTCATTTTCCCCTGCTTTTCCATTACAGATGAGGAAGAGGATGACAGCGATGAAGAGGATGACAATAATAAAAAGACAATTGAAGAGACAAAGTCATCCACTCCAGAGCCTCCTGCGAAACGCTCAAAGACGTTAAGAGCTTGACTTCATCGAACCAGAGAGACCTACTGATTGTCTCACTAACTCAGACTGCTGCACTGTTGTGGGAATATTTACGAATAAAATGGAAACGCCTTTTTTAAGGGTGTAAACTACTCTCACTTTGGCTGCCTTAGGCCTGTCTGCCTATTGTTCAGAAAAAAAAGACTTTGAAATGTATATGATCAAATATTCATTGTAAAAATGGACCAGCCTGATTTAAATTTCACTTTAATATCTGAGTTTGATTTGCGCCATTGTAATCAAAATGCAGTGATGAATGACGCGTGAAGGAACGTGCAGTCATTTTAAGCGAAATGGGACGAGCAGTCTGGATGATGACTGGGCGAAGCCCCATATTTTAATTGTAAGTGGTGCTGGGAGTGTAGTTTTGAAAAGATATTTCATTTTAGAGAAAGAGCACTGAATACTGAAGTACATATTTAGGTTTAAACTGAAAAAAAAATGGCCTGAAGCATGAGGTGTTTTAACAGCAGCCACATGAAGGGCTCTTAAAGGATCTGATCATTCAAATTACTTCGCTCATTGATCTGACTTCTCACAACCATCTTCTCATCATCCCTCAACAGTCAGTAAAGTAAGTAACTTATAAGTAACACAACAATGTGAATTTGTTTGCTAAAGTAATTATCAGTCACGTACTTATTACTTAACTAGGAATAAAATGGCATCAATTAAAGCAATTATTTAGACATTTTACTAACGAAGAACAGATGCAACACCAGTAAATTCCTTTAATCTATTACCAGTTACTGTATGTGAGTGGAACTGGGATGCTATGCTGAAAACGTCTCCTAACTACACAGCCATGAGAAATGCCAGCTCTCAAAATGGCCTCTTTCAGCTTCACATTCCCATTATTAGGGGCTTAAGCAGAGAAGCTGCAGAAACTGTATTGTTTCTGTTCTGATTTTTATTTATTTTTTTCATTTTTAAGCCATAAAAATGAAATGAATGTGGGTGAGCATAGAAATTGATAGAGCAACCAAACTTGGCAGCTTGGTTTCTATGCTCACCCACAATTTTTGCTATAAAAATTACTCAGAGCGGTCTGCGCAAAGCCCCCTCTCTCATGGTAAATTGGCTTCAACATCGGGTCATGGCGAAACAAAGCCTGTAGTGCTTTAACCAGTTTGGATACATATGATTTATTTGTCAAAATGGTTGGTTCCTGTTGCGCTGTTGGCTGTGAAGACTGCAGAAATATGTTTTTTTAAATTCTCTCTAAAACCATAGTTTTACTGATATTTATCACTCTGGTTCTCACTTTTAAGTATGTCCTTATTTGACAAAGTGCCCGAGAGTAGCCTTATTTTTTTTTTTTTTTTAGATTATTTATTTCTGAACAGGGGTGTTTACTATGTTTACTCTGCGTTTTGCAATGACCGGAAGCTGGTGCCTGTATGACCATGGCGGAATGCACCGAGAGTCTCGTTTTTTTCGCTGTGTCATCAAGAGATGTTGTGTGACCTGGTCCACAATTACTGTCTGATTCAATCTTGTGGTAACATGCATAGTGTACAGGCACGCAGGTGAACAAACACGGTCATGACATTTGCTGGTTGACAAGGTGAATGCATGGTCAAACAGCACGTATATTTTAAAACCTAATGCTTTAAGAACACATCTGCATCCTTCCAGTTAGCCGAATGCACTGACCAATTGCACCACAAAGACAGCTGGCTGTGATCCATCGAGTGCTGCGCAGGTGTTCTGCACATACATGAAATGCTGATGAAATTGACTGCTGTTTGTAGTAGCAGATAGCCCTGCATTGTTACTGGCAAATAATGCGGCAGCGTGGCCGAGCGGTCTAAGGTGCTGGATTTAGTCTCCAGTTTCTTTGAAGGTGTGGGTTTGAATCCCACTGCTGCCAGATTAGGTTGTTTTAATTTAGTTTTAGAGAGTACAGGTGGTTACCTGCTCTCTGAAATTAAGCTGAGTGTGCTGTGAAGTGTAGGTAATGCACTTGTGCAATAATCCCTCAAAAAATCTGGTCGCCTGATTGGGTGAGACTATCTTGATACTTTACTGCCGGACTGAACCAGTCGACATGGGAGACATTTTGACATATCGGATATTTTAACTTCTAAGCTTTAAGATCTGAATGAACAACTTTGAAAGAGGTCATGTAAAATCACAAACCACACCATGATGCTGCTCAATAATCTGTATCACAACCTTACATTTGTTTTAAAAAGAAAAAATGTAAATGTTAAAAAAAAAAACTACTTTGAAATGGTTGGTTTGTTTTGGCCCCATAATGCTGCATAATATACTGAGAGGCAATAAAAACACATACTAAAATATACTGTTTTAAGTAGTGGTAAATGGTTTCTATTGTAGTAGCAAAGAACGGCCTCGGGAAACTGTGCTTTTAGTAGTGAGACTTGCCCTCACTGCTATCGTTACATTGGCAGTCAATTCAGCAGCGCCTGTTATCTGACATGGCAGAAGACGTTTTACGGAATGTGTTTTTGTGACGTCACAGATGACATACTCTGTCAGGGACGACAGCTGACACATCTGGTCATTCTGTGTCATCCCTGCAGTCTGGATACAGTCATTTAATGGACATTAATGCATCTAGAATCATTTCTTTGAGACTGACCATCAGTCAACATTCAAAACATTTGATTATTTTGAGATTCACTTGTTTATGGCATTTGAAATGGGAATGATGTGACTTTCTTCATGAGTATTTTTATTTGCCCTAACCTTGAACTTTTCATGCGAAACATTATTCTCACAATATGTGATTCACAGCCATTATCCAGGGAACTGTGCTGCATTTAAATAATCATAATGAGGTGTTAAACCAAGAAAGGATTCAAACCCAGACTCCTGACATTTTGCGATGCTTACCATACCTGATGGTCATCATGTCAATCAGCAAAAGGAAAAACTATCAGTCGTCAACTTAGACTGTAACAAAACACTGCATTTTTAATGCCTCTCATTAATAATACTGTGTATTTTAAGGTGTGAATAAAGATATTGTTAGTATGTATTGTAAAGTGAAAATGCCATAGAACCCCATCCCCATGCTAGGACATCTTAAAAAAGAACAACTTAACTTTAATAACAACAAAATTTAATACCAATGAATAGTTTTACACATACTGAACTGATATGGACAGCCGTTGCCTGCAAGAGAAAATAAACCACTCAATGTATTACCGGATACTTGGCCGAGGATAATAAGGCATCACATGATGTGACTGTGAACCACTGAAGTCTCCGCAGCTGCAGAAGTCAAACACAAGTTAAACAAAGAGTAACAATGCTCAAATGAAAAGAGCATTTCCTTCTAGTATTTGCTTTGAAATTAAATGTAATTTCAAGCTGAGTGTGCTATGGAGTGTGTGTGATGCACTCTGCAATAATCCCCAAAAAGTCTGGTTACCTGATTGGTTGAGACTGTCTGTAGCCCTGGAGATGGCAGGAGCAGAGTTATTGGTACCCTTGACAAAAATGAAGAAAAAAAGTTGATACGAAAGAAAGAATCCAGTTCACTGTCCATTGAGCAACATCAAACAAATGAGGCAACTATGTAGTACTGCTATTTCAACATGTTATTCGCATGTTTCACAATTACAATCCAACGATTTTAACAGACTTTTACATTATCATAATTAGGTGTTTTCATGTTTAGAGCCATTATTTACCTCTGAAGTCAGATTTGGACAAATGTCCATGAATCCCATGAGACATAAGAGCCCCTTGAACACTATGGGGCAGTTGCAGAGTGCTGAGCATAGCTTTGGTTTAAACCAAGCTGAAAGAGTTTTGGAAAACCAGTTACATCAGGAGATTAACACACAGCTGCGCTGTTACTTATACAGGATTGCAGTGTCAAAAAAGGCTCCGGTTTAGCTGAAGGAAAATTACAACGGGCAAGAAATACCTGCTGCAAAAATTATATATGGCTGGAAATTAATATGACTTTTAGAAAGCAAAATCCTAAGAACTTCCCAAAATTACAAAAAAATCCATAATCACTTATAGCGTCACATTAAGCACGTTATGATATGACCAACGGTTGATTATATTCTCTCATTTCCGACATCTTTGCTGTTTAACAATCAGCTTCCCTCCCTATGAGAACAGCGGTAACTATTGGATTCATCGTACAGTGCAGGTACAAAATTAAAACTAACCTTTTGTCTCCAGCAGAGGGCGATACGGAGTTGTCTACATACCACGTTCACAAAATGCGGCTTTTCTGACTGAAACTCGATGTTTACGAAAAACAATAATTTTATGCTGTTATGCCTCAAGGCAAGTCCAAATATATTTTGGCTAAGCATTGATTGCAATGTTGTTTTGAATTTCAGCTCTTCAGTTGGTTAAATCTATCTAATTATAGTGTTGTATCACAGTGTACAGCATTTTGGATTACCACTCTGTAGTAGGTTTAATTTATCTAGTTACTCCTAAGCGTTGATCCTAGTTGCCAAGTAGATGCAGGTTCGCATCTGTGCGGCTGGAGTTTGATAATTTCACGTATTTAACAACGTGAGGAAGAAAGAATTTTTTTTTTTTTGGTTTGTTAACTAGCCGAAGTAATAAGAAAAGACTGGGTCCCGCTGTATCACACAGGCTGCACTGCAGCGTCTATTCACAGGCGCAATCCCACTACTGAGCGGCACGGGGGCTTTGACCTGCTCCGTTTCCGACCTGGGCCGGTTCACCCCTCCTTAAGCGACCTGGTAGTCCCGAGCTCCCCCAGGAGCACCATATCGATACCGAACTTAGTGCGGACACCCGATCAACATAGCGCACTGCAGCCCAGAACTCCTGAGCTCAAGCGATCCGCCAGCCTCAGCCTCCCAGTAGCTTGGATTACAGGCACGCGCCACTGTGCCCGGCGGAAGAACAAGTAGATTTTCATGCTTTTGTGTTCGGGAACGGTGTGAGGCGGTTCTCTGTATCTTTGTGTCTACAGCTCCCTCTAGCGGTAGCCTAAATTCATTGCCTATGTTTCAAAATATGCTCCTGACGGGTCAGATCGCTGTACACATTGAACTGTTGTTCTGGCTTTGAGCGTTCTCATCTGGCACGTGTTCTGACGGCTGTTCTCGTAAATTCAGGGGAAACTATGACAATCAGTGTAAAAATTAATGCAGCGCCGTCTTGCAAACGTCACGACGATTATTTACTTGATAAGTTAACGTTTAATTTGTGAACAGGCTCGTACTCTGGTCATGTTATGTGAGGAATGCACTGATACGGTTTTGTTAGGCCTTTTCACTAGCGGGCCTGATCTCATTTGAATTTTTACGATTCAAAATGCTAACTGGCATCTCAGACAATATCAGCTGTAAGTCATTTGGCTTGACATTGGGGAAGACGATTTTTGCTTATTTTTACAGTTTGAAATTTCATCTCTTGAAGTGAGATTACAGAGTACATTTAATGTGCAGCTCCATATAGTCCTGGGGCTGATGGGGGATCCTGTGTGCAATCAGATGTCCCCTCATTTTGACTCTTGAACCTGATAGTACACTCCTAGGTTAGTAAAAAAAAAACTTGGGTGGATGGTCTGGATCACGGGCAGGAGGGGTCAAATTCAAGATGCATCCAAGATGGCCGCCATATCATAAAATCATCTATAACTCCTCAAGGAAAGGGGCTAGAGAAATAATTTTGGTGTCTTTACTTATGTTTTGGGGGGTCAAGGAATCCAATGAAGCCATGTTTTTGGTCATCACCATATTTGGTAATGGTGAAATCCAATATGGCGGTGTAACGGGGGCCGCAAGCTGTAATTTGCTTAGTACTTGGTCTAGAGTTACAAATTTGGTGTCCTTTCCTTAGTTTTCAGGGTCAAGGAATCAATTGAGACCATTTTTAGAAATGATAGTTTATTACTTAATGGTGAAATCCAATATGGCTGCATGATGACATCCACTGTTAAGTCACTAACAATACATAATCATTGTATTTCGGCAAGAGATGACAGTATGGTTGCACGTAAGCATTATCAGCTACCGGTATGTTGTTTGTGACAAGATAACAACAGCCTCATCTTAAAAATAAGCGAGACATATTGAAAAATACCCCAAGAAACACCTGGGGTAATACTATTCGCACTTGTGATGTTATGACGGTTTATAATACCTAATTGTATTATTTTGCTCAGCCAATAGTTTCTATATGCTTATTTAAGGGTAATGAATATTCATGAGTGCTTGTAAACATTATGACTAGACTGGGAACGCCATGGATTCTTCGGGATCCTTTCCAGTCTGCTATACCTGGAAGCTAGACCGGCTTTGCTGGGTGCAAACGGACTTTGGATTATACAGATACCTCTTGGATACGGACTCTGCGGTCATCAGGATCACCGCATCGAAGACATCAGATTCCAGTGGATTCTCACCATCGTCGTGGGAACATCGCAAGGACGGACAGTTCGGGCTAGTGAATAGTATTTCTATCTTTAATGTAGTAATTTCATTGTTTATCCATTCCTATATTATTGTAATTGCTACGTTCATTCGCTCAGTTATTTAATAAATTGTTAAAATTTAATCCTTCTTCTAAATTCGAATCTTCCAGAATATTCTAGAACATGCACCTGTCCGTCACACACTACATGTAGTCCACTTTTAAAGTGCAGTAAATTGATTGGCTCATTTCATATCCAATTCCCGAGTGTTTAAACTTTCCACAGTAACTGAAGTACATTTATTGGACAGTCAGAAAAGTATTACAAACCTTTGCATATCAGCAAGCTTGGTTGGATCCTCTCAACGTTGCGCACATTGTGTGGCTGAAATTAACGGGATTTATAGAAAAAAAGACTCGCAAAACCCTGTAGTGTTCCTTTACATTTACAGGATTTAAATGAGGTAAGGACATGGTCAATGG